AAGATGGAAGGAAGGAGAAATAAGGAAGCCAATGAGGAGGGGAGGGAGATGGGAGGAAGGAAGGAGAAATAAGAAAAACAAGGAGGGAGGGAGAGAAGAACGGGAGGAAGGAATATGGGAGAGAGGGAGGGAGGAAGGAAGATGGAAGGAAGGAGAAATAAGGAAGTCAATGGGGAGAGGGAGATGGAAGGAAGGAGAAATAAGAAAAACAAGGAGGGAGGGAGAGAGGGAAGGAGAATGGGAGGAAGGAAAATGGGAGAGAGGGAGGGAGGAAAATGGAAGGAAGGAATATGGGAGGGAGGAATGAAGGAAGATGGAAGGAAGAAAGGGGAAATAAGGAAGACAATGAGGGAGGGAGGGAGGGAGGGAGGGAAAGGGAAGGAAGGAGAAATAAGGAAGGGAGGGAGGAAGGGAGGGAGGAAAGAAGGAAGGGAGGAAGGAAGATGGGAGGAAGGGAGGAGAGATATGATAGATGGAGGAATGTATAGGAAGGAAGGAGGTAGGGAGGGATCAGATTGATAAATTGGAGGATGGAGGAATGAATGGATGGATGGATGGGAAAGAAGGAAGGAAGGAGAGATGGGATTGGTAGATTGGTGGATGGATGGATGGATGGATGGAAAGGAAGGAAGGAAGGAAGCTCTCTCCCCCCCCCCCCCAAGTGCATCAGAGGAGATATGGATGCTCAATCAGAAACCGTTGGCATGATGGAGGCCTTGGAACCCCGTTGCTTTCTTCCCAATCAATCTTCTTCAAGCCGACTCTGATCAGCTCCTGTTTGGGAAAGCATCACAGGCCTTTTTAGACAGACGGGAGTCCCGGGAGCCTTAACCTCTGGGCTCCCAAGCTTCACCCCCTCCTCCTCCTCCCCCAGCCCCTGGGGGGGAGAGAGACGGTCTTTCCGCCTGCCTCTCGCTTTCTCCTCCGTCTGCTTCCCCCCACCCCTCCTTGCAATAATGCAATTACTTACCCTTCTGAGGAGCTGTCATTGTTGGTAAACTCTGGCTGCTAAATAGCATTACACACAGATCTCTCCTTTAAAACCTTCACTAGTTTATTAATAGTTTATTGATCCCTAAGCCCCGTCGCTGGTGAGAAAGAAGCTCCGTTCTGATCTTCCCTCCTCCTCCCTCGCCGTTATCTGAATACTGACTAACCAGGAGGCAGATCGATGGCAGTCAATTCCCAGGAGGGGGAGAGAGAGAGAGAGACTTGGGAGAGTGAAGGAGAGGGAGGGAGGGAGAGGGAGAAGGGGAGAGGGAAAGATGAGAGAGAGAGGGAGAGTTGGGAGTGGGAGGGAGGGAGAGAGAGTGAAGGGGAGAGGGAGAGATGTCAGAGGGAAGGAGAGGGAGAGTGGGGGAGAGGGAGAGTGGAGGAGAGAGAGATGAGAAAGGGAGGGAGAGGGAGAAGGGGAGAGGGAAAGATGAGAGAGAGAGGGAGAGTTGGGAGTGGGAGGGAGGGAGAGAGAGTGAAGGGGAGAGGGAGAGATGTCAGAGGGAAGGAGAGGGAGAGTGGGGGAGAGGGAGAGTGGAGGAGAGAGAGATGAGAAAGGGAGGGAGAGGGAGAAGGGGAGATGGAAAGATGAGAGAGAGAAAGAAAGGGAGAAATGGGAGAGGGAAGGAGAGAGGGGGAGAGATTGAAGGGTAGAGGGAGAGATGTCAGAGGGAAGGAGAGGGAGAGTGGAGGAGAGAAAGATGAGAAAGGGAGGGAGAGGGAGAAGGGGAGATGGAAAGATGAGAGAGAGAAAGAAAGGGAGAAATGGGAGAGGGAAGGAGAGAGAGGGGGAGAGATTGAAGGGTAGAGGGAGAGATGTCAGAGGAAAGGAGAGGGAGAGTGGGGGAGAGGGAGAGTGGAGGAGAGAGAGATGAGAAAGGNCTTGATTCCTTGCTCAGTGTTCTTTCTTTCTTTCTCTTACTTTCTTTCTCTTTCCTTCCTCTCTTTCTTTCTTCTTTCTTTCTTATTCTTTCTCTTTCCTTCCTCCTTCCTTTCCTCTTATCCCTCCACTTCTGCCTCTCATCCTTGATTCCTTGCTCAGTGTTCTTTCTTTCTTTCTCTTACTTTCTTTCTCTTTCCTTCCTCTCTTTCTTTCTTCTTTCTTTCTTATTCTTTCTCCTTCCTTCCTTCATCCCTCTCTCTTATCCCTCCATTTCAGTCTCTCATTCTTGATTCCTTGCTCAGTGTTCTTTCTCTCTCTCTCTCTCTCTTTCTCTTTCCTTCCTCTCTTTCTTTCTTCTTTCTTTCTTATTCTTTCTCCTTCCTTCCTTCATCCCTCTCTCTTATCCCTCCATTTCAGTCTCTCATTCTTGATTCCTTGCTCAGTGTTCTTTCTCTCTCTCTCTCTCTCTTTCTCTTTCCTTCCTCTCTTTCTTCTTTCTTTCTTATTCTTTCTCCTTCCTTCCTTCATCCCTCTCTCTTATCCCTCCATTTCAGTCTCTCATTCTTGATTCCTTGCTCAGTGTTCTTTCTCTCTCTCTCTCTCTCTTTCTCTTTCCTTCCTCTCTTTCTTCTTTCTTTCTTATTCTTTCTGCTTCCTCCCTCTCTCTTATCCCTCCATTTCAGTCTCTCATTCTTGATTCCTTGCTCAGTGTTCTTTCTCTCTCTCTCTCTCTCTTTCTCTTTCCTTCCTCTCTTTCTTCTTTCTTTCTTATTCTTTCTCCTTCCTCCCTCCCTCTTATCCCTCCATTTCTGCCTCTCATCCTTGATTCCTTGCTCAATGTTCTTTCTTTCTTTCTTTCTTTCTTTCTTTCTTTCTTATTTTTTCTCCTTTCTTCCCTCCCTCCCTCTTCCTTCCTTCCTTTTTTCTTTCTGTCTCGTCTTCCTTAGAGATTCATTTTGAAGTTTCTCTTCCAGGTTGGGCTTTGCAAGCACGGCGGAATCGCTTTGATTTTCTTTTGCTCCTTCTCCCCGGAGTCCTTTCCCGTACCAAACTCCCTCTCCCTTCCTCTTTTAGACCTGTTTTTTTTTGGTGTTGTTAAATCTGCAGTTGTGTCAGTAGATGAATTTCACAGCCCCAGTCGAAAAATGTCAAGGGCCAGAGCAGAGCTGAAGAGAGATTCTTCCAACACTCAATTTAATCCAGCGTGCACAAAAAGATTTTATTATATTTTTTTGATCCTCAGCTCTTTGGCCCGTATTCACCCCTCCTTCCACCTTCCATTCAAAAAAACCACCGTAGTTCAGGATTTGTCCGACGATCGATATTATTTCTCCACGTTTTCTGGAAGTAAAAATTGCATTTCCAATATCGTCTCAAACAATACGGTGCAGGCTTTCCTTTTCGACGTGGGAGTTGAGAAAAAAAAATAAGTGGGGAAAAAAATCACATGCTTTCTCTGCAGGTTCGGAGGCTCAGAGTGAAAATAATCCATCTGAAGTCTTGCTTAGGTCCAATTGACTGTCTGGAATTAAAACCAAGAATCCTTTTAGGCCAGACGATGAAGTAAAATTTGGATTTGTGCAGAAACAGCCCAGTCCCGTCATGGCGAATCTATGGCACGCGGGACACAAGTGGCACGCGGAGCTCTCTCTACAAGCACGCGAGCTGTCGGCCACCTCAGCTCCACCGCGGATACGCGCCCGCCTCCCGCCAGCCAGTCACCTTCTTTTCGGATCTTTGCCGCCTGCGGGAGATGTGCGTGCATCAGGGATGGGTTGCAACTGGCATTACGGCCGGTATGTCGTGCTAATTGGCGCACAGGCCAAGCGTGCGCTCCGCACTTGGGCACATTTGTACCTAAAAAGGTCTGCGCATGAGCACAATGTTAGAAAAAGAAAACAAATTTGCAATGAAGATTGTTCAGTACTGAAAATCAAGATGGCGCTGCCGAAAATAGAACCGGTTCGGGGGTGTAGCAAGCCGAGTTCCTACCTACCCGGCTGAACCAGTAGGAACCCACCTCTGGTGTGCATGCGCAGGGGGTCGGGGGGTGTCACATGCACGCATAGGAGCTTGTAAGTCACACCCGCATATACAGGGGGCAGAGGGAGCGTAGGGTCTGTTTTTGGTTCCAGGAGGCTTCAGGGAGGCCTGCTGGGCCGAAAACAGGGCACAGGGGTGTGCAGCGCCCCCCGCGCGCGCAGGGGTGGGTTCCGGCAGGCACTACTGCCAGTTTGCTCGTGGGTGGGCTGCGTGTGCATGCGCAAGTGCAATAAAAATTGTTCTGCACATGCCAGAAGTGCAAAACAAGATGGCGGCACCTGTGGCGCCACCCAGAGAACCAGTTTGGGGGCGTGGCAGACCTGGGCTTTTGCCGATTCCAGCAACCCAAGCCACCAAACCACTGCCGGTTCAGCCCAACCAGTCTTAGCCGATAGGAACCCACCACTGCCCCCGCAGCCCATTTTTGGTTCCAGGAGGCTTCAGGGAGGCCTGCTAGGCCCAAAACGGGAGGGCAGGGGGAGTGCAGTGGGATCGTGCGCGTATGCTCAGGGGGTGGGGCAAATTGCATTATGAGTGTGGGCACACGCATGCACGCGATTTTGACACATGAGGACAAAAAGGTGAGCCACCCCCTGTCCCAGTCTGTTTACAGTCCTCATCTTACGACCAGAGTTGGCAGCAGAATTTCAGTTCCTGAACAAGGCAATTGCTAAGCAGGTTGTCTCGGTTTTATGTCCTTTTTGTTCCACGGTTGTTACACAAATCTCTGCCACTGTTAAGTGAACCATGTGGTTGTTAAGCGAATCTGGCTGCCCCCTGTTGACTTAGCTGGGAAGGTCACAAGTTGGTGACCCCGGGAACGCTGCAACCGCCGTAAACACGAGTCAACAGCCAAGCGCCCAAGTTTTGATCATGTGACCGAGGGCGATGCCGCTGCAGTCGTAAGTGCGAGGACCGCTTGTGAATTTGCTTTTTTCTCAGTGCCTTCAAACGGTCACTAAGTGAACGGTCAGATGTCGAGGACAATAACGGTTTAGGAAAATCGCCATAATGTTCTGTCATCTCATTTTAAATGCAGCCCAGTGTCCTTACATTCTCTGTTTCTCTCTTGTCTTTCCAGGCTTCCCGAAGTCCGGATTTCGGACAATGGACCCTATGAATGTCACGTGGGGATTTACGACCGGGCGACTCGCGAGAAAGTGGTCCTGGCCTCAGGCAACATCTTTCTCAACGTGATGTGTAAGTAAGAAGCATCTTCCCTTTTCACCGACTGCTGGGATTAGCTGGGAATTCATGCTCTAACCCCACATAATCCGTTTCCCCCCCCCTCCAATATTCCTCCTTTTTGCTTCTTTCTCCTTAATTTTTTTTACCTCTCATTTCTTCCTACTGATTTTTCTTTGTCCTGCTTAAGCTCGCCAAAACAAGACACCCCCCCCCCAGTTTCATCATTTGGAGGGATGAGAGCCCCCCCAAAAAAACCTGGCTGTAATTGGAGCTCTCAATTCACCTGCCCCCCAATTTCTCCTCCCCGGAACTCCTGTTTTCTAACAGGAAACCCACCACATTTTCTTTCTTTCTTTTTTTCTTTTTCTTTCTTTCTTTCTTTCTTTCTTTCTTTCTTTCTTTCTTTCTTTCTTTCTCTTTCTGTCTGTCTGTATTTTTTTTCCTTCCTTTCTTCCTTCCTCTTTTTTCTTTCTTTCTCTCCCCTCTCTTTTTCCCTTCTTTCTTTCCTTCCTTCCTCCTTCCTTCCTCTTTCTTCCTCCCTCCCTCTCTCTTCCTTTCCTCCTTCCTTCCCTCCTCTTTCTTTCTTTCTTCCCCTCTTTCTTTTTTCCTTCCTTCCTTCCTTCCTTTTTTCCCCTTCCTTTCCTCTTTCTTCCTCCCTTCCCCCTTCCTTCCTTCCTTTCACTTGCCCCCCTCTTTCTTTCTTTTCTTTCTTTCCTTCCTTCTTTCCTCCTCCCTCTTTCTTCCTTCCCCCTTCCTTCCTTTCTCTCACCCTCCCTCTTTCTTTCTTTTCTTTCTTTCTTTCCTTCCTTCCTCTTTCTTTCTCCCTCCCTCTTTCTTTTCTTCCTTCCTTCCTTTCCCTTCCCTTCTTTCCATTCTTGGGGGTGAGGGGTGTTTAACCCCAGGGTTGAAACAAGGGGTCCTTGGTGCTCTCTTGAGCTCGGTGGTTTCCCTGCAGACATTTCGTGACTAGGTAATGCCCTCAATGCTGATAACGTCACTTAGTTTGGTAACGCAACGTCTGCAAGAGCTGTGTGTGCTGGAAACCGTCCAGATTTCTTTAGGTTTTCTTTACAGTTTTTCCATCAAGACCTGCTGGCAAATCCTGCTGATTCTTTCTTGATATCACCCAGGTTGTTTTTCCTCACACAGCTTGCCTGTAAATTGTCCCTCCTCTAAACCTGGTTTCTGTTATGCATCACAATACCCTTTTGAAGTGCAGAGCCACTTATCTATAAGAGCTTGTCTGGATTATTATTATGCCAGGAGGTGATCAGGATCCTTTACTCTTTGACTTCCCACCTCCATGAATTTTAGAAGAGGAGTGAAAACAGGGGAAGGAAGTCTTTTTCTCCCCCCAATCTACTAAACAATAAAATAAAAATTAAAAAAACACACCTGCATTTCTTCGACTGAATCACTCCATAACTCACCCCTGGCCTGCAGACCCTCCGTTACCAACGGCAGCGCCACAGTAGCCTTTTTTCCTCCTTATTTTTTAAAAATAATTTATACCCAGAGGGCAGCCGGCTGGCTGGCTGCTGGACGCATACATATTGAGTTGTTGGTTGTATCGTTGCTACGGTTTTTCATCATCGCACGTTCCCCCTCACCCCCCCCCCGCTTCCCCAATGCTCATTTTGTGACTTCTGTTTTAAAATAGATCTTAACTCTTTTGTGCTGCAAAGTATGTGTGTCTGTGTGTGTGTTTGTGTGTGCATACAAGGCTAGGGATTTGTTGCTCCCTCCAAACCAGAGCTTCGCGGCATAGGGTGCCCTACTTCCCAAATAATATTGTTGCTGTTGTTAGTTGCGAAGTCGTGTCCGACCCATTGTGACCCCATGGAGAACGTTCCTCCAGGCCTTCCTGTCCTCTCCCATCCTCTGGAGTCCATTGAAGCTCACACCTGCTGCTTGGGTGACTCCATCCAGCCATCCCCTTCTCTGCCATCCCCTTCTTCTTCTGCCCTCCATCGTTCCCAGCATGAGGCTCTTCTCCAGGGAGTCCTTCTTCCTTCTCATTAGGTGGCCAAAGTATTGGAGTTTCCTCTTCAGGATCCCAACTAATAATCACAATTTAAAATGAGCAGGGTGTCTGTAGCCGTAAACCTGGGGGACCCTTCTCTTTGTCAATCTGGACTTTGGCACTCCAGGGAGGTGGTTGGAGGGTGGGAGGTTGAGGCTGACACACACACACACACACACACACACACACACACACACACACACACAAACACATTCCTTGAGTCTTACAGCGAGATTGTCGCAGTGGGGTGAGTTGTGCCAAGTATCAAAGTAGAGCAGCTGTTGGAACTCTTGTTTACCGGCAGCGTCGTGGTACCTGATGTTGACAGATGAGCTCAGGTGGGAACTGGGACCGGTTCGTCACCGGCTGTTCTGCATTGCGGAAACTTCGCGGGGTGAGAGTACTTCTCGGAACGGCGAGAGAGACCCACCTCCCCACTCTCTGGCCAACCGTCCGAATCTGGTGGCAACTTTCCCCAGGGACACTCCCCCCCCCAAGCTTCTGGTCTGTTGATTGATCCTACCTGTCCAGTTGGCGAATCCAGAAAGAGAAAGTCCTGGGGTATTGTTTGTATATATAATTATGTATTATATAATGTCGCGTTATATGAAGTGTAAAACCTTCCTCCTGAATAAACCACATAGGCACAGAAGAAGCAAAACCGGCTCTGGGATTCCCTATTCCAAAACAAGCATATTAGTTCCCCCTTTTTTCCCTATGGGCCACCTACCATCCATTACATCCTTGTGGGCGTTCCAATAACGGAGGCTTTCAAGAAGAGATTGGACACCCATTTGTCTGAAACATATAGGGTTTTCTGCCTGAGCAGGGGGTTGGACTAGAAGACCTCCAAGGTCCCTTCCAACTCTGTTTTTCCGTCAAGACCCAACTAGCCTCTGGAAGTTGTGAATGCTCCAACACTGGAGGTTTTTAAGAAGAGACTGGACACCCATTTGTCCAGAATGGTATAGGATTTCCTGCTTGAGCAGGGGGTTGGACTAGAAGACCCCCCCAAGGTCCCTTCCAACTCTTATTCTACCATCCCAGATCCATAAATCAGTGGAAAGATTGGCTTCCAGAAGTTGTGGGTTCTCCATCATTGGAGGTTATCAAGAAGAGAATGGACAATCATGTCTCTGGCATGCTATGGGATAGTGATGGCTAATCTTTTCGTCCTCGCGTGCTGAAATTGCATGCATGTGTGCAACAGCACGTGCGTGCATGCCCACAGCCAATGTGTCCTGTCCCCTATGCATGCGTGGGTGACCCCCCCAGCGCTCGCCCCCATGCATGCGTGGGACACCCCCCCCCCCGGTGCCCCCTTTTGGGGCCTGGAAGGCCTCCCTGCAGCCTCCTGGGACCAAAAACAGGGTGTGGGGGCGCCACCACGCATGCATGCGTGACCCCCACCCCTCCCCGTCCATGTCTGCCCGTCTCCCACATGTGCGGCAGAGACCCCAAAATCAGCTGGCTGGTGGGAGGCGCATGTGCAAGCGCAGTGGAGCTGAGCTGGGCGATGACTCGCCTGCCCGCAGAGAGGCCTCCGCGTGTCTCCTGTGACACGCGTGCCATAGCTTCCCCATCACGGCTATAGGGTCTCCTGCTTGAGCAGGGGGTTGGACTAGAAGACCTCCAAGTCCCCTTCCAGCTCTGTTCTTCTCCCAAGATGCAACCAACCCAGGAGTAGAGAGACTTAACGGAGAATTCAAAGATGGACTTGTTAAAAAAGCTTCTATAGGGAAACAGATGGTCTGACCAAATGACATATTTTAAAACCAAACGAACAGGGGGAAAAAAGGGGGGGGGGCTGTTGGTATCTTTAAAACTTAACAAATTCCCTGCCGCTCCGACTTGTCATAGGCCACACAGCCCTCTCTACCAGAGGCTGTTTTAAAAATAATAATTAAGTGGAGGAGGGGTGTCAAAGGGCCGTGAAATCCAAGGACGGCAATCCTGTAATATTTTCCATGCTAGGCACTAATGTTTGCAGCAGGAAGAGTTTTACAAGATTGCTAATTGGTGCTGGGTTGAAAGCGAGGAGGGGGTTTAATCTTGGTGTGGGTTTTCCTCTTTGTCTAAAGCTGCCACTGGCTCTCCTCTCTGTAGCATTTTCAGGGCTATTCGGATCCAACAGACCGTTGCGTTATCCCTTTTCTGTGGAGGTAAGATTTGTGGGTATGCATGAGAGGGAAAGAAGAATAGGCAGAAATTCATCTCCATGCTTTGCATTTTCCAGTCGATTTTTTTTTTTTAAAAAAAACCACCTTGGGTGGGTTTTGCAGGGCAGAAATATTCCCCTTGAAAATGGAGGGGGGGGGGTGCAGAGAGGAAAAAAGCCTGCGAAAAATGCAAGCATCGGAGAAAAATGATTGCCACAAAATAGAGGAATACATCAGGAGAAATAATGTGTCACAAAAGTGAAGGGAGTAGACATTTTTTAAAAGAAACGGGAGAAGGGAAAGAGAGAGAAAGAGAGAGAGAGTGAGTGAGTGAGTGAGAGACAGAGAGAAGGAAAAATACATATAATGATAGATAACAACTTAGATATGTAGAAAAGTGCCAGGAAGTTTCTCGTCTCTTTGAATCTTTACTGCTGAGGTAGTTATGAGTTATGGCACATTTTTGCCTGGCCAGGTTTTGTAATGGCTGAGTACAGCGTGCCCAATTGGGTGCCAATCATCTCGTCCATTTGTCCAAGCTCCACTCTGCCCTGTCGAGTGTTAAGAGAGACTCCCTGCTTGAGCCCAACATGGGGCAGACCCAAACAACAAGGCTTTGGGGTGTTCCTTAGAAAAATAGAGCAGGAAGGGGGCGAGTTCTTTGTGGACGTCATACCAAAGTGGAGATTCTCAGT